TTTTGTACAGCGCTGTAATGGAGCGCATAAGGACACTCACAGAAGCAGATGATGTGAGAGTTTTTAAAAGGGTCAAAATCCTGGATCGGTCCGTGTAACAGCTCTGATTTACACCGAGTTTGAGAGGCAGGTCAGCACAATCCACTATGAGCACAAAATAAAAGAGCAGCAGATCACACACAGTTACACAATAGTTCTGAATTAAAATATTCTCCTTCAAGTTTAGATGGAAATAATAATTCTGAATTGAGGTTTACATGGAAAACACGTTAAATCGGCTTTATTTAATTCCGCTCAACGTCTGTGGGTCGGGAGGGGTTCTGATTGGACAGGGACACGAACGTATTTACGTCAATTGGAAGAAAACACACATTTCAGCTGCTACCTGCTTTTTTGTCATCTCGGTTTGTCGTTATGTTACAACCCAGTGCTAGGGACTAGGGATGGGCATGATTAGTCGATTAATCGATAATTGATCATTAAGAATTTCATCGATTACGTTCATTTTAATCGACAAACCGAATGTAGGTTGCTGTGCGTAGCGTAGAGCGACCAAACAGGGTCAGTACGTGTGTGTCTCTGCACTCAGAAGGAGCGAGACACAAACAGTCGGTCAGTCTGCAGCGTACTGAAGTGCAAATATGAATGATGTGCAACGATGACTTGTACAATAAAGTCTACGCTTTCCGTTCTGGACAAGTGTGAGTCCATGTGCACAGTGAACAAAGCAGCACATATGTTTCTGTGTCCAGTGGGAAGAAGTTTTGCCAGGTGAGAGTAGCGCAATGTCGATGACGAGTCCCCACCTCCCTCCTCCCGTACGGTGTCCTGGTTTTGACAAACGCAAATATGGTCACACTAACCTGTATTCAGCTGAAGTCATGTCTTTTAATCCACACAGAAAATTGACCGCATCAGCGACACAAGAGCTGTAGTTTTATCTTCGCTTAGTTTATGCAAATTAGCGATGCGGTTTTAAGTTTCGTTTCTGTGAGAGTTGCGCAAAACTGAATTAAACACATTATAATGTCAAACGGATTGATGTGGCTTCTAGAGTCGTTACGGTTTATATGTCGTAAAGTTGAATTTATTTATGCAGATTAGTAGTGCAGATAGTAATAATAATGATGATAATTTTAATATAAAAAAGTTAATGATTAATCGATAATCGATCGTTAATTCTTCCGACGATCGATTAAGAAAATTTCACCGAATGCCCATCCCTAGTAGGGACAAAGGAAAGTAACACAAACCAGATATGATGTAAAGTAAACAGGTTTTATAAAGTGGTGTAGGTAAGTACAATAACAAAAAATAAATAAACGTTTCACTTTTGATAATTCAGAATTCCACAAAGTTACTAAACCACTCATAAACTAAGGTATTTAACAGCAACAAAAAGGAACGAGACGTCAATCCTCCAACCACAGCACAAGGGGTGTCGGAGCCCACAGCATCGGAACCACGGCCCAACAGTCAGACATCAGGCACCACACAGGACATGCAAATACGGAAGATACACGCGGTAATACAAACGGGGAGCGCCAGGCGATGCGGAGCCGGAGACAGGCCGCGAGCCGTAACACGTTACGCCGCGGACACAAACATGATCCAAACTTTTTCCGCAGTCGTTCCGATGATAATTGCGCAGCAGCTCGAGAATTCTCTCATCTCACCTTACGTCTGTCGGCTGAGGAGGAGAAGGGAAGCGTGTCGGAGAAGGGAGGAAGAAGACAAACTGAGTCAACAACTGCTCTACCTCAGCCCACTCCCGCATCCCTCTCGCAAATCCAAAGAGCAGAGGATGAAAGTCCGAAGCAAAGCAGGGACTGGTGGAGCCGGTTAGTTCGGATCGCGTCAGAAGAGCAACCCAACGAGCATGAACTGAACGACCGGAATTATTTTTAAGAAGAATAAACGTTTACATGATGCAGGAATAAATTAATTTGGCTTTAAAATTGGAATAAACCACCCACTTACGTCGGAATTAAGTTTAATTCTGAATAATTTTCATTAGGAATTAAGTGTTTACATGGTCTTTTTAAAGCGGAATTATTTTTTGTTCAGAATTAAATTATTTTTATTCCGAATTAAAGCTCTCGTTTAAACGTGCCAAATGAAATACATATTAAAACGAGCCTTTTAATTGTCACGATACTAAAATTTCAAACTTGATTTCAATAATAAGACTTCTCCCCCCTCTCTCTCTTTGCTTGTCTCTCTACTGTTTATCTTCCTTTCTCTTTTCTCTATCCTCTTTTCACCATTACTCTGTTCTCACTCTCCCCTCTTTTTCTTGCTCTCTCGTTATTGTCCTCTCTTCTGTCTTCACTCCATCCCCATCTTCTCTCTTTTCCTGTCTCTTATTATTGTATCTTATCCTCTACCCTCTCTTTTCCATTCCTCTTTTCTCACTCTTTTTCTTCTCTGACCTCACCCCCTTCTCTCTCTTTTTGTCTCTCTACCATTTATATTCCTTCTCTCTCCACTCTATCCTCTCCTCACCATTCCTCTTTTCTCACTCTCCTCTTTTTCTCTCTCTCTCACTCGTGTCTCTCTCCATCTCTCTCCTTTACTGACGCCCTCTCATAGCTCTTTTTCTTTTCTCTCATCCTTTCTTCTCTGCTACCACCCCCATCCTCACCCTCTCTCTCTTTCTCTTCCCTCACTCACACCCTTCGTTAGCCCCTCTCTCTACCATTTTCTCTATTTCTCTTGCTCTCTCTTGTCCTCTTTTCTCTGCCCTCCCCCCATCGTCTGTCCTCTGAATGTGACTCTTTTAATATCGATACTTGATCATTTCGATATCAGCTTTAGTATCGATTTTTCATTTTCCACTCAGCTCTGATGTTTTGTTTTTGTGGGTTTAGTTGGGTCTTTGTTGACTGCAGTCGTGGTTCAGCTCATTTCCTGTGCAGGGCAAATGTGCGTCCTTGTTGTGAGATTGTAAATGGAATTTCGTGACTCCAAGGATTCTGGGAAGGGTGGGCGGAGAACAAATAGTAAATCAGTGGAGTTATTACATTACATAAGAGAATACACAGAATAGACACAGAAACTAATCACATTTTTTTAATATGAAGAAATATCACAGTTGAATTTTATTTACATTTTTTTACTAAAAGATTGAAACCATGTCCAAATACTAAACAAAGATTTTTTTAGATGATCATTTTTCTAATATGTGACCAAGAAAATCACATAACTTTTATCTGACATGATGAAAAATATTGTACACTTAGACTTGTTTTTGTAGCGAATAGATAAAGTAGAATAGAAATTATGTTTTTTTTTAAGTTTTATGATAATCACCAAATAATCTTGACATTAATTTAGCTACCTGTTACTATATCTTTTTTTATTTTTTGCTGAACAAACTCCAGTGTGGAAATTGCCAATTGCAGCAAACTTTGTGTACTTGGGTTTTTAAAAGTTTTTTAGTTTAGTTTAGTTTAGTTTGTTTGTTTTTCGTGTATTTTATTTAATTCCTGAACAGTGCTAAAGTATCTTCCAACCACAAGCCCCAAAACAAGCCCATACAATAAAACTGGAAGTAAAGAATCGACAGACTTTTAATAACGACATAAAAATTGCAGTAGTTTCATGTTTGCGTTATTAAAATACTAAAATTTCAAACTCGATTTTGATACTAATGAATACACTTGATACTTAATACAGATTCTGATACCTGGTGATTAAAAAAAAAAAAAAAAAACACTCTTTGTTAGACTACACAATGTAATTTTCCACTTTAAATTGTAGTACTTTCTTCTTACTTTGTATTATGATGTGCAGTATTGATATCTGCTCAAATGAGAGTCTAGTTTCGATTCTAGTTTTAGTTTTGATTAGTAGGGATGTAACGATATCTAAATCTCTCGGTACGATATTTTCATGATGTAATATTTTGTGGAGACTAACAAAACTGTGAATATGTTACTTTTTTCCTGTTAAAATGCCTTGATAAGACTTTGGTTCTGTCATAATCCAAACAATTAAGACTTAAAAATGCTTGTAACAGTTATTTCTTCATGTATTTGGCACTGAAATCGAGCAATGGATCATGGTCTGTGTAGTTCCCTCTGTACTTGTACCTATGTTGCTGCACTATAACTTAAGAAACTTGGTATTCGATCGGTCCACGATATTATTGTGAGAGTTCTGACGATACGATATCACGATATTTTGGTTATTGTTACATCACTATACGAGAAAACACGATGCGGTCATGTCAAAAGCGTCAACAAGTCAACATCAACATCGTCAACAGTTATCGGCGAGATTTAACTTTTCAAAATAATGTTTTTGATCCTCAACATTCAGTGACTTAGAGTAAGATGATGAAGTCATGTCAAAACAATTAAATGCAAAACCTACTTCAAAATAAGACGAGTTTTCTCATGACAGACAAACGCAACGCAACTGTCAACACAAATGAACGACCCCACTGACTTTTTGCCAAAGAGCCACTGCGCATGTGCGGAAAAGCCGAATGTAAACAAAAACAATGTATTCTCGTATTGATTAGTATTTGATTTCCAATAAAAATAAACTCCTCAGGCTCATTAAAAATGCTTTTTCTAGTGGAGTAGAAAGTACAAATACCTCTCAAATGTAAAGTGAAGTAAAAGTAAAACGTATCCACTTTAAAATGTACTTAAGTGAAGTACAGATACCTAAAATCTGTACTTAAATACAGTACTTTACTACTTCTACTTCGTCATGTCCCACTACTGCTTTGAACAATTATTCTAAGTTCTGAGTCTTTAGTATCCCACTGTAAATACATTGAAGTGCATAATAATTTACAGTACAGATGGCCTTAAATGTTCAGTAAATCCGGATTAAGTTCAGTCGTCCTCAGAAATCCCTCTCTATATGTTGCCGCATTTTGCTTTTACAGCTAAAAGCTTGAATCTTCTTAACAATAAGTCTAACATTATTTCTTCTCTTTCTCTTTTCTTTCAGACTGAGTGAGATCCTGCCTTCCACCTGCCACCATGATCGCCACCGGTGGTCTGCTGCGTATGAACCGGCGCCAGGACTCCCTACGCGCCAAAAACCGCGCCGAGAACAAGCGAAAACGGAAAGCCAAGAAGAAGAAAAAGAATGACGTCGTTGTAGTGAAAGGGAAACTCAACCTGTGCTCGCCCGCTGGTCTCGTAGCAGCTGTGGGCATACTCGTTTTGCTCGTCGGCGTCTCGATGGCCGTCTTGGGGTACTGGCCGAGTCAAAATCAACACGAATACCAGGAAAGACGGCGTACGGGGGCTTTCTATCGGAGCTACGCAAAAATCACGCCACTTCTGCTAACGTCAGTAGCGAGAAATCGGCGCTGGATCACGTGTTTAACGCTAGCCATGCCAACAGCGACAACAGTAGCGTCCAAGAGCCTGCGCCGCACTGTGGATTCCTTTGTGATTTCCTGGACAGCTACTTATACTCCGACAATCTTAAAGTGTTTGGACCGCTGGTAATGGGAATCGGGATTTTTCTGTTTATCTGTGCCAACGCTGTCCTCCATGAAAACCGAGACAAGAAAACCAAAATCATCAACTTAAGGGATATCTATTCGACCGTGATAGACTTGCATAGTATTCGCGCAAAGGAGTATTCGCCTTTGAACGGTTTGGTGAACTATACGCAAGCGAGAAGCGCCGAAGGGCCTTCAGGTTCGCACCCTCCGAGCGGAAAACTGACCCGAAGTTCTTGGCCATCCACCGGGCTTGGCGAACTCGGTAGCGATGACGTTTTTCGGCGCCCTTCGCTCGTTGAAAGACCTCGAAGTTGGTCAAGAGATGTGCAAACTTTCACCGATACCGTTTATAGCATCTACAAAGACTACAGCAATAGCGCGGAGCAAACGCCACAGCCTAAACCTTGGGACCCCACTTCTATCGTGACATCGTCCGTCAACGCGTTCACGTTACCGGTGATCAAACTCAACAACTGCGAAGTGGAGGAGTCGGAGAAGCTGGCGGCGGCGGACCGGAGGCGCTCTCAGGAGGAGGTCGTCATCGAAACCGCCATCGAATCTCAAAGCAACGAGGAAGACATCGACATGAGCCAAACGGAAGAGACGCAGCTGACCGATTTTGACACGTCGTCGGAGAATCCAAACCACAAGGAGGACGAAGAGGAGGTTTCGGTGGCTGTGGTAGTGACGTCGGATCAGCAGCAGGGGGCGGCGCACGAGAGCAGGACCCAGCTGTTTCCGTCGTCTCCTGTAAAGGTGACTACAGGATCGAGGTTATCCCTGAACTCTCTTTCGGGGGAGAGGGAGCCCAGGTTGGTGCGGAGATGTAGTCTGTCCGTATCCGCCAGTCGGCAAAGCGAAAGGGCGCGGCGCTTCAGCTGCCCCAAACTGGAGCGTTCAAACAGTAAGGGCTATATTAAACTGGCGGACCTGGGGGGAGAGTCTTTCGAAGCCCCCGACACAGAGACCTCTTTGGCGGGGGGCGAGGGAGACGTTACCGCGGATACCAAGGTGGACATAGAAGCTCAGGGAGAGGAGGAAGACAAGACGAACGCTGCCGGGACGTCCTCGGCAGAAATCTAGATCAGTGGTTCTCAGACAACTTAAAAACATCTGAATCTAAAATGAACTTAAAGGCGCGTTATGTAACTTTTTGGTTGGGGGTTCGTCGCCTGCTTGTTTCTTTTAGTATGCCATTGCTCTGCCTGGAATGTTCCACAGTATGACATTAAACAGACCTACCTTACATTTATTTAATTACAGGTAGTTTTATATTTCTTTAGCGCTCAAAAATACCTAGAAAAACAAATATTATGACTGATGAAGGTCATTTGTTTCATCAGATTTTGAATTTGAAATACTTGCTTTCTGGTTCTGTTGGAGTGGGGGGTGGTCCTGGATAGTAGTGGGGGGGGGGGTGGTCTGAGCTCTGCTGGTTCTGGAGGAGCAGGGGGGTGGTCCGGGCTCTGGTTCTGGTTCTGAGGACCAGGGGTAGTCGGGCTTTGGTTCTGGAGGAGTGGGGGGGTGGTCCAGGTTCTGGTTCTGGAGGAGTAGGGGGTGGTCCTGGATAGGAGTGGGGGTGGGGGTCCGGGCTCTGGTTCTGAGGATGGGGGGGTCCGGGGGTTCTGGTTCTGGAGGGGGGGGTGGTCGGGCTCTGGTTCTGGAGGAGTAGGGGGTGGTCCGGGCTCTGGTTCTGGTTCTGGGAGGTAGGGTGGTCGGGTCTGTTCTGGAGGAGTGGGGGGGGTGGTCCGGGCTCTGGTTCTTGAGGAATAGGGGGTGGTCCTGGTAGGAGCGGGGGTGGTCCGGGCTCTGGTTCTGGAGGAGTAGGGGGTGGTCCTGGATAGGAGTGGGGGTGGTCGGGCTCTGGTTCTGGAGGAGTAGGGGGTGGTCCTGGATAGGAGGGGGGTGGTCCGGGCTCTGGTTCTGGAGGAGTAGGGGGTGGTCCTGGATAGGAGTGGGGGGTGGTCCGGGCTCTGGTTCTTGAGGAGTAGGGGTGGTCCTGGATAGGAGGGGGGTGGTCCGGGCTCTGGTTCTGAGGAGTAGGGGTGGTCCTGGATAGGAGGGGGTGGTCCGGGCTCTGGTTCTGGAGGAGTAGGGGGCCTGGGATAGGAGTGGGGGGTCCGGGCTCTGGTTCTTGAGGATAGGGGTGGTCCTGGATAGGAGGGGGGTGGTCCGGGCTCTGGTTCTGGTTCTGGAGGAGCGGGGGTAAGAAAGTAAGAACCAGAATTCTCTGAACTCTGAAAAAAGATTATTTTTATTCTGAGTTTTAGTTGCTGAAATTTTAAGTATACTTTTTCAATATGTTTCAAAAAAAAAAAAAAAAAACACCTTTTCAATTTTCAGCACATATATTTTCAACAGTCAAAATTCAGAGTGTAAAAATTTTTAATACTGAATTTTAAACACTGTAACAGTAACAGTATACTGAACTTAAAAATACTTAAAATAAACTAAAATTCTGAATAAAAATAATTCAAACATGTTTTTTCAGAGTTCAGCGGTATTTAAAATTCAAAATCTGATGAAACAAATTATTTTCCATATGAACAGGGTTTTTTCTCCACAGATCTGACCTGTAACTTTGTCTGGTTTGGTCTTCGTGAACATATAAAGGTTTAATACCAGACTGTGAAACATTCCAGACAAAGCAATAACATCTCCATGAAGCAAAGGATTTGACGGACCCTCCACCAGAAAAGTTACACAATGCGGCTTTAAACGTAACCAGGGCTAAACTAAAAATCCTGTGTTTTAGTTTAGGTTAGAGGTTTAAACTTGCCTTGTTACACTTTGTAAAATAACATTCAGTATATGAGATTAAATTATCCAAATAAAGAGTGTTTGGTGTTGGTCTGAGGGGCCATTGGTGCAGACTGGCAGCCACACCTCTCGTCATTAGCCCCAGGGCAGCAGTAGCAACAAAAGTAATGAAAAATATATGAAATTGTCAGGCAAAAATGTTAAATTTAAAAAAGCATATACTGTTGATTTGAGTCATTTTTGAGTATTCGTTTTTATTAGATCTAGATTCTAATGTTTATATCTCAATTATATATTTAATACAGCTTCAATTTTGAAAACAAATACAGTAATAAGCTCAAAAGTACAGAAATTAATGATGCACTGTGTAACTTTTCTGGTGGGAGGTCTGTCTCTGGAGATGTTATTTCACGGCTTAAGAATGTTCCACAATAAGACACTGAACTTAGAAAGGAATTATTGTATTTTTGAGCAATAGAAACACCCATGATGAGCAAATTCTAAATGTGTTATAAATATGTTTAATGTCACACCATGGAACATTCCACCAAAGCAATAACATCTCCATGGAGACAAGAAGGTAGCGGACCCTGCACCAGACAAATTGCGCAGTACACATTTAACAGTGGTGGATGCAGTATTTAATTTTGTTACTTGAGTAAATGTACAGATACAGGGTCAAAAGATTACTCCAATAAAAGTAAAAATATCACATGAAAGTAAAAGTGTTGAAGTAGCTGTTTAAAAATGTTCCTTAAGAGTAAAAATGGAAAGTATTTTGGGGTGATTTTGATAAAGAATTTAGCTGATTTTAAGGGATTCAATCGATTTCTTACATGTTCTAGCTGTTTTTGTGTATTTGTGTCTTTGGTTTGCTCAAAGTTGGATCGTAAACTCAAATTAAATGTGCTAAAAATAAATCTCAGCCATTTCAACAGGTGTCAGATAATAAAGAAAAGTACAGTCCAGATCTAAAATGTAGTGGAGAAGAAAGTACAGATACCTGCTCTCAAATGTAGTGAAGTAAAAGTAAAAATATCCACTGTAAAATGTGTTTAAGTAAAGTACGGACACCTAAAAATTGTGCATTTACTTCTGTACTTTGTTATCTTCCACCACTGACCTTTAAGACCATATTACCCATTACAGAACTATACTGATGATCACCACTAGAGCCCGCCACCCGCTGTTTGAGAACCACTGACCTAGATTGGAACAGAAGATGTCTCCTCTATAAGAAACTGTCCGATGTTTGGTTAAGCATGTGCATGTGGCTACTTTGAACTACGGAAAGCACATAAGGACTATTGAAACATAGCCATGAACACACAAAAAGCAAGACTCTTCTAAAAAAAAAAAAAAAAAATTACCCCCTCCACTGCTCAATACTGACTTTTTTTCTATTTTTTACAATGTAGCAAGAGCAATACTAAAGACTACTAATGAGATTTAGTTAAGATTTCTATATAAAGACTCAATGAGATCCTCGGTTGTTCCGCCCGGGATGAAAAACTTTTGTATCTTGTAATGGTAGGGCAAAAGTTGTAGCGTGTACTTTGCCAAAACTGTCACCATGGTGTAGTACTGTAGCAACAATTTGAGCATAGGTTAAAAATGGAGATAGATTAGACTTGTTTCTCTGCATTCTTGATTATGTGAATACCACGTGGACACATGGGGGAACAGAGCAGAAACTCAGGTAGATGTTTGGAGAGGACACGGGCTTATAAAAAGGACAGATGTCTTTCTTATGTGCACTCCTGTTTGTAAAATCCATGACTGAATAAATTTAAATGTAACACAAGCGCACTCGGGCTGGTCGTCCTTCATGAAATCGTTGTTTAAAGGTTACGCCGTTTTCTGATCTATGTCGTAATGCTGTTTCTTCATCGAGAACGTTCTGTATCTGGAGTTGTGTTTTGTTTTATTCGCACATGTTTAACTCTTCCACGATGCCTGGGAATATGTTTTATATAACCGCGCATAACTTTCCAACCATAAAAGATAGAAACTTTTTTTTTTTTCTTGAAAAGCTGAGAATTGCTACCCAGGCTGGCCTAAATAATGAAAGTATTTATTTCAGAGTACAAATTTTGAGTAACTGTATACGTTTCTCCAAACAGTGATAGTGAATCCATAACTAACAGTGAAACAAATATCAAGCTGTTTCTATATGTTGTATTTTTACTATTAAAATTAATTACAGATTAAGTATTCAAAAAGTAGTTTGTACCCTTAAATTACTTAAATGAGTTTGTAATTGATAGCATTATGAGATTACTTGTAATATGATGTGCTTTTTCAAACGACAAACATTTGCCAAAATTCTTGTTTGTTGTCTTCAAATTTTCTAGCAACTCTGCCATGAATACGTGGTTTACTGTCAGCAGCAAAGACCAGAATCTTAATCCACCAACGAGGTTTTAGCGGTTTTAAAAGACAATAACAGTTCGCCTTTGTTGCACATATTAAAACAATATTATTGCAATAGAGAAAGTTTTTATCGCTGAGAATCACCTTAAATTATGTCGAACCTACTGTTAGGTGTCATGTTGTTTAGACTAGTTTAGTCCTGGTTCAGTCCTGCTTTAGTCCTGGTTCAGTCCTGCTTTAGTCCTGGTTACTGGTTTAGTTTCCAGAGGCGCAAAGGAGGAAAGCGGTATTACGTGAGAAAACGTAATTTTCAACGCGAGTGCACGAGACGGCGGTGTCCGCGCTGTAACTACTGAAGCGAGATTCGTGCTCCATGCGCTGGATGCTCTTGCCCTTCTCAGGTATGATGACGATGATCTAACTGCTCACTGTAACGGAATACACGTCTACTCATAATTCTGCCGTACTCTGACTTACGTAACGCGGTACATGTTAATCTGTTACTCCCAACACTGTCTATATGTTTGTTTTTTTATGCAATAATTTAAATAGGCAATTTGATGTAAAACGCTATTCAAAGTCATTCTCAGAATATGGTCACCTCGACTTGGACCATGTATCAGATTAAGTTACAAAATACACCTTGTGCTTCACCTCAATTTCATTTCTCTCCAGCGACTAAGTCAGGAATCGGAATACACTAGACGGTTTGCAAGAACCCCGGAAGTGCGAGTTCGGGCACCATCCAATCAGCAAAGAGTCATACATTCAGTGTTGGCAACGATCCCTGAAATCGAGGATTTAAAGCCGGAACAAAGAGAATGTTTGAATTTTGTCAAGGGGAAAAACATTATTGTCCTTCTTCCTACAGGATTTGGGAAAAGCTTAATACACCAGTTAGCCCCATTAGCAGCGCATTACATACATCACGACCAAATAGCAGTGATTGG